GGCTCCCGCACGCCTCCCGGGCATCTCTCACTTTTAAAGGTTTGTGCATTCGTAGGAAAAATGAAGGGAACCCGTGCGTTTTCGATGCCACTTAGTAATTGACTTTGTTGTCAGAAGCAGGTCAGGCATCCATCTTAAGGTGACAAGGGTTGGGGAAGCTTTGAAAAGCGCCGATTTAAAAAAAAAAAAAAAAAAAGCACAAGGGTGGAGAAAGCGAAACCTCAAACGATGGTGTTTTCTCAGGATGGGACGTCAGGTTAGTAATTCTTTTCAGAATCTGGATACTTTGCAGTATTGTTATTGGCCAGAATTCATTTAAAGCCGACTTTTCTAAACGTGTACCAGTAAATTTTAAGTTTAGATTTCTTCATCTTTTTGCTTAATCACTGAAGACAAAGCAAATTTTTTTTTTTTTTAAATCAGTTTCTACCAGAGAATCAGAAAATAAGACGGACGGGGGAGGGTTAAGTTTGACGTGCAAATTTGGTGATTTTTTTTTTCTGTTTACAAACAAAATTCCCTGCGAACTTTACTATATGCCTGAATTTATCGCATCACGGATCCACTGACCTTCACCCACAGCCCCTTTTACTTTTTTTTTTTCTTTTTTAAGAAAGTGGTAGCTGTTTTACCAACTGACCAAGATGGCTAATGATTAAGCATGGTAGTTGGGATTTAATTAGGTATTAAAAGACAGAAGTTTTCAACTCAAATGTAATATTTCTGTTTTCTTACTTGAACTCATGCTTTTTCAAAGTTATTTTTCAAACTTTGTGTGTGCCTTTGCTTACATTGAAATTCTTTAATGTATATATGTATATAGTTGGGGGGGGTGTGTGTCACAGTGCCCGTGGAGAAATCAGAGGACAACTTGCAAGCAAGAGTCAGTTCTCTCCTTCCACCATGTTTGCCTGGGGCATTGAACTCAGGTCCAGTTTCCAAATCTCTCTGATAACAGTATTTGGATTTTTGTTACAGCTTTACTGTATGCATTTCCTTTAAGATTTCCAAAAGAATAAACATAGCATGGACAACTGTAATCTCAACAGAGTGAGGAGGATCAAATATTCAAGATCATCCCTGGCTACATAAGTCAAAGCCAACCTGTGTTACCCCACTCCCAGTCAAAAAAACAACCCCCACCCCCCCAAAAAAATGGAAGGAATGTCAAGCAGGCATTAAAGCTTTTTACAAACCTTATAGTTGCTTTAGTTGAAATTTTGATGCTTAGTATTTTTTTGTAATTTAGGTTCAGGATTGTTTAAAATGTCAAGTTTGTTTTGCAGTCATTATAAGCCCTTTGGTGTTTTAGAATATATGCATCAGAAATAGCTTTATTATAATACCCTACCAAGTTGTTTAAATTTAGCTTTCTGCTCTTCCCCTAGCGATTAATCTATTCATAATAAATGAATATTAGGCATCTGGTTTTGACAGGCCCTTTTAAAATATTTACTTGCAAGTTTGTGAAGGGAGAAGAAAGTAATACAACAGAGCATAAACACATGAAAAATACCTTAAATTTCATTTGAAATTTCAGTGCCATAAAACTTTTTTTCAACTTAACTGTTCTAAAGTTCATTTCAATTGACTTTTGTGTTTTATACTTAATGTAAGTACATTTTCATAAACAGTCGTAGCTCAGCATTACCTACCTTCTGGTGTTACCACTATTGCAGTTGCTTGTAGAAGAAACAGCACGGCAACTCATAAAGGAACTGTATTGAAAGGGATGAAACTTTTGACCAAGTTGCTCTTGTGCCTTTCCAGCAACAGTTCATTCAGTACCTGCTGGGTCAGTAGCTTAAGATTTCACAGTGCACCAGACAGGGCCTCCCAGGAAACTTCCCCAAAATGGTACCATTTTGTTCTCTGTATCTGAGTTCTGTTGTATCTCTGTATTGGTTTGTTATGTTAGTTGACTGAGCAGTAGAGTCTCAATGATTTCATACTGAGGATTTGGCTGTTTAAATATTGAATGTTAAAGAGGCAGTTCTCCAGTCAGACCTTGGCCTAAAGTTCTGTCTCATTTTCCTTTGACTTCTGTGGGTCAGTATATTCTGGGAGCTGCCCATAGGCATGATGGGTCTTTATTTTCTTTTACATGTGATTTATCATCCACTTAGATCTACATAACAGTTCCTACATACAGTTTAAAGAAGTTACTGACTACATATAACTCTTTACAGTTAATATAGTTACTACTCCCTTGAGCATTAGACAATTGAATTACTGCAATAGTAGATTAAATGAAGTAAAGGTTTCAGAACATTAGAATATGCTGATTTTTCAAATTAGCAATTTAATTATCCACTGCCATAATTCTAAGATAGACAGCTCCTGCCTACATTTTTATGAGATAAGTGAAGACGGTATTACGAAACTAGATTTTTATTTAAATGTGTGTTGTCTCAGTCTTTGCTTTCATAGTATAGGAGAAAGAAATTGAGCAAATACTGAGGGAGCTGGAGAGATAGATGTCCAGCAGTTAAGAGCTTGCAGCCCCAGTTCCCAGCACCTATATCAGGCATTTACAACTTCCAGTAACTCTGCCTCCAGGGTGTCTGATGCCCTTGACTTCCAGTGCCACCTGCTCTCACTCCCCCTTCTCCACAGAAGCAAAAACCAAAACTGATTTATATGTTGATAATGATCAAGGTAGTAAAATGCTGAATTGGAGATGTGGATCATATTGGCTAATTGACACTTGATATATACATACTAACAAACTAATGTTTTACCTACTCTTTCCAAGTAAAATTTTATGTTGTACACAGAATTCAGTTCTGTTCTCTTGTGGTTTTTATAGGCAAGAACAAACTAGTACATAAAATTGCAATTCTGCTAAGTGCTGTTAGGGAAAGTCTTGCTGATAGAGTGCCAGATCAGGAAGGTTTCCTTAAGAAATGAACTTTGTAGTGGGGGGTGGGAGTGGGGCTTCTCATTCTTTCTCAGCACCTCAGGAGCCCCATCTTGGTTTTTTTTGAGACAAGGTCTTGGGACTTGGCACACAGCATCACTCCTGGCTCTTTTGCTATTGTTAGTGATAGGGATTGAACTCTGGGTCCCTATGCTTGCTTAACAAGCACTTTCAAAACAGTCATCTCCTCACACCTTGAACAGGGATCTAATGATGAAATATGTTTCTGTAGGGGTTAGTAAACTATGGCCTTATTGAAGGAGGCCATTGATTAACTTTAAAAAATGTGTAGCATAGACCCTTGAGTTTCAGCTTGCCTCAGAAAGGCCAACTAGTTTTATGGTGGAAAATGTTTTTAGAGGACAATAATGGAAAGGAATATATTTAGGAGGGAAGGGGCTTTTTAGAGTTGTCCAACTGAGAGATGATAGAACTCGAAGCAAAAGGTAGTAGTGGAAATACAAAGAGGTTAGAGAGGTCTCCAAGAAGTAGGTAATTTAGCAGCATGACGTGGTGGATTTCAGTTGTCCTTCTGTATCTGTGAGATCCACATCCATGAATTGCCAGTCTCAGATTGAAAATATCAGGGGGTGGTGTATTGCAATGTACTGGCATTCTCCAAACAGTAGAATACACAACTATTCCACTATGTTGAGTGTCAAAGTAATCTATAGGTGTTGTTCATGCATACAGGAAGATGTGTGCAGGGTCTATGCAAATGGTGTGCCATTTTGTATTCGATCTAGGTGAGCACCTGCCACTGAGCTCCCAAGTGACCTCCACGAGTGGAGAGAGCTGTCAAGATGTTGAACTGTGGAGTGATGAGTGTGGTGTGTCCTCTGAGCTGTCTCTCCAGCCCTGCAGATCAGCTTCTAGTGTAGACTCTTATTTTGAGTCTTTTGGTTACTCTTTGTGCTCTTTCATTTTTACTCCCCACCCCACCCCCCATAGTCTTTCGGTTCTTTTCTTTCTGTTTTGTTGTTGTTTTTTGACACAGTGGTCTCCTGTCTATCGCTGGCTATCCTAGAATTGTCTATGTAGATCAGGCTGACCTTGAACTCACAGAACCACCTGCCCGTGCTTATGGAGTGCTAGAATCAAAGCTACAACTCAGACCCAGTTTTGTTTTATTTTTCCTTCCTTCCTTCCTTCCTTCCTTCCTTCCTTCCTTCCTTCCTTCCTCCCTCCCTCCCTCTCTTCCTCCCTCCCTCCCCCCTCCCTCCCTTCCTTTCTTCCTTCCTTCAAGAAAAACAGCCTTGGCTATGAAGACTTACCCATTAGAGAACTGTTAAAGTGTTGCCAATGGTATACCTGTGTGTGTGTTTAAAAAAACTAAAATTGGTGAATCTGCTGTAGTTGGTCCTGTGACACCTGTCTTACCCAGCCCTTTGCTGGAATGTAGATGATGGTTTCAGTTTGGTAGGTTGCTACCCAGCTGGCTTCTGCTTAGCTCAGAGTGGTTATGTGTGGGGTATGCTATGTTCTTGGCCACTGAACCAAGCTTCCAGATTTTATTGTACCACTCCCATTATTCCTGGTCCCCTCAGACCCTGATTCACCTGTTCTGCTTAAGTCTCATCAGTGTTTCTCCTTTTAAACATATGGGGCTGAAGAGATGGCTCAGTGGCTAAGAGCTCTGGCTTGGTCTTCCAGAGGTCCTGAGTGTAACAAGTCTTTTCTCTGTCCTGCCAGCCAGCCCCCAAATAATGACACAGAAACATATATTAATTATAAAAGCTCAGCCAAATAAATTGGGCTTGTTCCTGACTAGCTCCTATATCTTAAATTAACTCATATTTTTTAATCTACATTCTGTCACATGGCTTTTTAACTTTCTTTCTTTCTGTACCTCTGACTTGTTCTGTGTCTCCTGTTGTCTCCTGTGCACCTAGATTCCTTTTCCTCTTTCTCTCTGCCCAGAAGTGCCACCTAT